CAAATGCCATCGCAAGCGAGCACGACGAAGCGATCCAGGGACGGATCCAGTTCCACCAAACGCAGTTCGGGCTCAGCTGATACCAGCTGACCAGGCAACACCTGTGGGCTGAAGAGCGATCTACCAGCAAACAAACAGCACGGAGTTAACACGTTCTATGAGACCACGTGACCACGTCGTCGAACATGTGCCACATGTAAAACTACCAGCAACAATGACAAAAGATGTGCTTCGCCTTGGTGCATCCATATCTTTGAGGCTCCTTCAACAGCAAATCCCCGAAAGAGCGTGACACCGCCAAGCCCCAGCGTGGGATGGCACGGCCTGAAGACACAGGCATCGAGACATCGCAGGCCAAAGTGCCTTCTTGTTGAGGTGCAGTGCTACTAGAAGACATTATTGACATGACATAACTAATATGTTGGCAGGAACTGCAGGAACTGACATTAATGCCTCCAACTGCCCCACATAAACGTAAAAAGGCCGGTGGGCTAGAGGGACAAGGCCATTTGACAAGCAACAGCTGCTGTCCAGTGGTGCCAACTGAGAACAGCCGACGCCCATGCAAGCTTCAAGTGGCTCAGGACAAACACCCGCCTCCAAAAAAAACTTGCTCAGGACAAAAGACCCGCCAAACTCCATGGAGATCGACCATTCCACCGAGAGATTCGATGCGCTGTCGCTCATCCTCTCGGTTGGGCTTGTGGTCCTCTCGGTGGGTTGAGCGTGGCGAGGACCAGGGGCTCGCCACGCATGGAGCTGCACAGTTGAAGGGGTTGCCCAAAGTAGTAGCGTCCTTGTTCCTAGTAGTAACGCCAGGAGTTACTAGTAGCGTCCTTGCTCCTAGTAGCGATGCCCTTTGTTACTGGCAGCTTTTTGTTCCCTTAATCATTGAGCGTGCCCATCTTTAATCATATGTCATATATCATATGACATCCATTTGGAGGCTCTATCTGCTATAGCCAAAATAGGTATGACTCGGCGGACTCGGCATGACATGGTCTGATGGTATGACCTTGATTTGTAATTGTAATAACTGTGATAGCCAACAACAACGAGTGCACTGGCTGCTGCAACAATGACCCCTCCAAAAAATAGGAACATCATCCGACTGAACAAAAAGCACGTGTGCATACCATATACAGATACATGTCAGATTTCTTTCTGGCACCCAGATTGAGCAAAGGTGTCCAACCTTCCCCCGAGGTTGAACCTGGAAGTTCAACAATGAGACCAGCACAAGCTTCCCCTCCTCGGAGAGACGGAAGACCTGCAAGGATCCTTGTGCATTTGCATTTCCAGTAGCTCGGCAAAGAATGGCACGAGAATCACCGACATTGGCCACCAGCAACCTCTCGCAGGGGAACCAAACACGAAACGAAACCAAGTTGTTAGAGCTGTCTGACCCGGAAAAGGAGTGCTGTTTTTTATGGTCCAAATCTGCATGTCGCTGGCATGTCAGCTGCTCACAAGACAGCCTGACCTGGTCCGACCAGGTTGGCTAGCCAATTCGTAGAGCAAGGCCAAGAGAAGAGTAGATCCATCCATTGCCTCTTGCTGTCTTGCCCACGTCAGAAACCTAGGCCAGGAATGGCCAGGACATTGCGATTCCGGGAGGAAAGAATGTCAAAACCGCCCGTGCGTGCTTATGTACTTCAGCGATGTCCATTCAATATACATCCAACATCTTCATCTTCCCGCCTCATGTGCCAGTTTACTGGCCAAATGTAATATATATATATATACATATACAATAAACAAATATATATATATATACTATTCTCACATATTACTATACACATAATATAAATAATCTAAGAATCTATACAGTAGTTGTTGCCTTTGCCAAGCAACTCCTCGTCAACCATGGCACAAGCTTCAACCACCGCTTCTCTCAAATTCTCGTCTGTCAACCCTATCTTACTGGCAAGCCGCGCTTGAAGCACAGCCGGCAACCTTACAACACCAAAACGGTCGAATTCCAACTTAGGGGGCATCTGCTGATTGCAAATAGTCTTGCTCGGAAAGTTCCACAAGCATGGAAAAATGAAGAATGATTTCTTCCATAACCTGCTGAACAAGAATATGCCATCGCCGAAAACGCCGCGTGAAGCGCCTTTCTGTCAAATGATCCACGCAGCGTGAACCAGAATGCCCATCAAGCACCATGATTCCAGGGATGCTGAGCCCATCCGACGATAGGAGCTCCTAAGCACGCTAGGAGCTCCACGCTTCGCTTCGAACAACAGCAACCGAACAACAACTGTGTATCATTCTGTATAAGCAGGCACTTCAGCGAATCCATTGTTGGTAGCATTCACCAAATGCCTAGCAACACCTCACAGCTAATACCAAACACCACACTGATGTGGCAGCACTGTCCGTCTTTCGCGTTTTGGGAGAATCGGACAAACCAAGTCCAACACTTGAGTCTCACCACATCAACAACCATTCGTCTTGAGTTGGATCAACTTCCAAACATCTCCACATTCTACATTCTCAAGTGGGAAACGTGTGTCCTCTTGGACATGACCGTCAGCAATAGTCAAAAAGGTCTTTGAGTGCAGCCAAGATTCAATATTAAGAACAAATCGATCCTCGTTGGTTTCTTTCCCCCCCTGCCAGCATGCCTTGGTGGCTTCGCTCCACGAGTGCCAGAGTGCCAGAAAAGAGCGTGGCCTGAGGCCCTGCTGCACCTGCCTCCAAGATGCAGCACCTGCCTCTAGTGTTAGATGCCCACATCGCATCTCTTGCCAGGTCGGGCGTAAGGTTCCGGCCTCAGGAAAGGGCAAACAAACCCCAAAAGCAATCCAAAATGGTGTAGCAGTGTGGCATTCGCAATTAGTCTCCACGTGTGGCTTAGCACCTGCGCATTTCGGAGCTGCTTCGCAGGATCGGAACCTGCCCGACGGTATTCAATGGCCTCCTGTGCCTGCGACAAGAGTGCCAGCGGACAGATGGCTTGGAAGCGCTTTCACATATCCAGAGCGGATGTTGTATGGGCATGGGCCGGCATGGGCCTCTTGTGATATTGTGTCCCATGTGCAGTGTGGCATGTTGTCAGGGGGTCTAGGCTGCTTTGAGTATCGATATTCAGGATGGCCTACGATATTGGGTCTTCGCCTCTCTCCCTCTCTCTCTGTCTGGCTACGCTCAAAGACATCCCTACAAACAAACCCCGCAAACCATGCCAAACACATAGTGCGAGGCATTTGCCCCTTTGATGAAGCCATGTGGCTTGTACAACATTAATTGTATTCCCTTTCCACTGCCATGCCTCCACATGGCATGGCTGGAGCCGCTTCTAATTTGTCTTTGCTTGCTCAGTTTGACTGGATGGTCTTGTAATTGTAGGAAACCTATGCTATTTGGGTGGAGGTCATTGCTAGTAGGTTGGAGGCCATTGCTATTAGGTTCCTTTAGCTAGTAGGGTGGAGGCCATCGCTAGTAGGAAACCATTTTTGAGCTTGTGATCTGCACACATCAGGACACCATTCGACGAGTAGTCACCGCCTGACTGAACTCCCCGAGCTGTTGACGGAGTTGGCTTTCGATCGCTCCAGCGCGGCTGCTTGTGACCTCAGTCAGAACAGCTGGATACATGAAGAGTGCCATATTTTCAGTGTTTCTTTTGTTCTTTGTTTCTTCGTCTTTTCTCTTCAAACGTTTCTTTCCTTGATTTCCTCCTTGGTGATTTTCTTTCCCGTTCATTGTTCCACACGGAAGAGATATGAAGGCCCAAACTTATGAGCTGGAAGCCCTGAATTAATGGCAAAATGAGCCACAGCTTACTTCCGGGAGCCTGAAGACGAGTTGACTCAAATGCACTTAGAGAAAAATATCATGCTAGGCTAGTGCGTCCCTGTGACGCAAAGATGAACACAGGTTGAGGTGCTCTCTGTATTTCATACGCTAATCTACTGTATATATCTTTTCTAAGGTCCAGTTTTAGATACAATTTCTGCAGGGTACACTGTTCAGAATCCACAAGATTCCACAAGTATCATCTCTGAGCATCCAGGCAGGGTTTGAGGAGTTCATTGCATCGTGTAGCTGCTGGCGCAGGCGATGAACGCTGCCGAACACCTCATCCTTGTGCCTCAGCACGCGGGGAGCGCACACAGCCATTTTTCCACATGGTTGTGGAAGATTGAGCAGGGACTTTTGCTCTAGGCGACTTGACTTAGATCGGAGCTCAAATGACAATTTCACCTGTCTTTGGCAATTTGGTGACTTGGAAGCTTTAAGGTCTCAAACTCAAACCTTGATCAACCTCGGAAATGGTTCTCTGTCACTTGTTTTGTGGTTTTTCTCCGTGAGCCTTGCCAGCAGCCTCCGTGAGCCTGACTTTTTCTGAGGATGGTGCTGTCTGATGATGTCATCTTGACGATCTAAGTTCTGCTTGTGGAGCTGCGAATACTGCTCCTGACCGGCATTCAAAAGCACTGTAGCCTGACTTCGAGGGCCGTGGCTCATGTCTTGTCACATGCTGACCCAAAACTGCAAACTGGCAGCACAGCCATTTGCAGCGTTGGGAATCTGAGCCAAGAGGCATGTGCACTTAGAGCGCCAGCATCAGCAAACTTCCGCGTGCACAAATAGCAAATGTGGTGTGCGACTGCAGCCATGGCGATGGCAGCAAAGGCCCAGCAGTGCCCAGCAGCATAAATGAATTAGAGCAAAAGCTGCTTTTGGATGTCAACAACGGTTTTGTTGCCCAGCTTTTGGCACTTTAAACCAATGAACATTACACTCCAATAATTGAATTCCTGTGTTACTCAAGGGGCACGTTGTTGTATCATGATGTGAGGTTCACGGCAAGTATAACTCACTGAATGTAGCTGAATGCTCGTGCATCTTAAGCGTGATGAGAAGCATTCAACCACATGTTCTCAAACTGCTGAAAAAAAGCACGAGCATTGTTGATGTTTTTCATTTAACATACAGTCGTCAAACATCTTGTTAATTGATGTCATCGTTCCACAAGCAAGGGCACGAGCCACAGTGATGAAGGCGGTCCAAGCCTTGTGCCAGGAAAACAAGAAAAATGGCACCTTGCGAACGTGAAAGCTGAGTTGAGCACGCGCATGATCATAGAAAAACTCGCCTAAACAGGGCACGCGTCAAAAATACTAGTCAGTGGGTTCAATCAAATCATTCCAAGCAATTACTTGAATATAAACATCTCTGAAACCACCACCACCTATATAAATTAAGTAGTACGTTGCACGAACTTCCGGTCTCAGTTTTGCAAATTGACACTTCAGCGCGGCACAACAGGCGGTGCCGTCTGCACAAACGTCATGAACTGGCCGCAAGCGCAGTGAATCAGAGTCTGGAAGATATTTCTTAACAGGCTTGTTCGAGGATGTATCACCTGCTGACCATGTGCAAATGTGAGCCTCTTCTCTACAATTTTACACCAACATTAAGAAAAAACACGCAACACCAAGCAAACAAATGAGCTCTCGGACGCACTGCAACCGCGTTTTTCCACTTCTCCGCAGTTGGACATCTAGGGTCTTGGCATGAGACTTGTGCCAACTAAGAATGTGCTGGCTTGGAGTATGCACTCTCGAGGCTCTCATCACCAATCCACAACAACTCAGGTGGCAATGAAAGTGTTGCACGGCAATAAATTGCTTATCTATGCCTTTCTGCACATTGTTCATTTCAAGCAAACTCCCTCCCCAAAGGAGCTGGTGATTAGAATCCAAGGCAAAGGCAGGTGCATGCTAAGCCTTCGCCTCAGGTACCCTTGATGACAATCTTACGCTAGGGATTCCTTTGGAAATTACCCTAGCTCCAAAGCGAATTCAGAGCTGCAGCTTGAACCCATCCGCAGCTGATCGGTTCAGCATCATGTCAACCTCGAAAGCTTCAGAGTGTTCACTGCATGTCAACGCAAAACATCATGGCTGAGCTTGCATACTCAAAACCATCACAAGTAGCTTGCACAAAACTGCAAAAATGATGAATAGCAGCTTCCTGAGGCTTCCTGGCTTTACGTCAGGAGTAATCAGTCAACATACAGTCTACAGTAAATCAATTCCCTTTCCTGTCATTGCTTGTGCCACACGTTATATAATGCTTCATATTGCTTCATACTGAAGGAGGTGGAATGTTGGCCAGGCAGCAATCACGTCTCGGCTGCGTGAGTCCTCCGAAGTTTCAACCAACGGTGGCAAGTGCTTCGATGGATGATGACGATGCTGCACAGGTAGTTGCAAGTTGTGAGCAACCTCTCGCTGGAAGAACCCGTCGCTCTCCTGACGCTTCTTTCCGACACAAAGCCAGTGTGCAGCTTGCGTCGCTCTCTTGCTGATTCCTCTTGCCTAGTAGTATGACCGGGAGCTACTAGTAGCGTCCTTGCTCCTACAGTAGTAGTAAGGCCTCCTAGGGGTGTTTGATGTCAAGATTGGCCTCTGCAAAATCAAACTCATTGGTCTGGGTGGCATCGCTGGCACAACCAGAAGTCCTCAGGTCATGGGTCTAAAACGACATGGCACAATTTGTTCCGCCACAGTGGGGCCAAGTGACACTGATACCGAGTCATCGCTTCGGACCGTTCGATTTCTCCGCCTGCGTGGCCCAGAGTGGTCGTGCCAAAACCACTCTCGACTATCCATCCTTGAACTGACGGTGCAACCTTACCTACTCCAACCTAAAAGCGATGGCCTCCAACCTACTAGCTGTCCAATTTCCAATTTCATAGAACCCTCGTACTGCTTACTGGCATGACCAAATGCCTCAAAATGGAGTTTGCGTGCCCATCTGAATCGAAGATGTGCGACACTTCTCCATGCCTCTGATGCGATGTCAGCGTCAAACACAAAGCTGGACTCAAACAATGCAAATGAGCCATTTGACGCCCAAGAGGCATATCCACAATCCCTCGGTGTGCATGCACCAGCTCTCGCAAGTGATTTTTCTCCTCGGTGGTGCGTGACTAGTAGGGTGGCTGTAGATGGGGGTGTGAATTGAATGGTGCTTTGACCAGGGAAGGGCACATCCACGTGCATGCCTCGTGACTTGCTGTCAGCACTCCATTGTGCAAAAATGTGCAAAACTGTCGCACACAACCCATGATGTATATATGAAAGGAGCTAAAACAAACGAATCGCACGAATCCTGAAAGGGCAAATGCTAGAGCAAAATGTTTGTCTCAGTGAGCATAATTTGACCATGGCTCTGAGTGCTTCTTGTTGATGCTGGGATCCGTTAGATCAGGCCAAAGACTGTAAAGGGCAATCTGGATCTCCTCTAGCATCAATTGTGCTAGCAAGGCAAATCAGCAAATTTGGAATTTGCGGTGGCACGTGGCGGCACGTGGCAGTGCGGTACTGGCAGCATTTTGACAGAATTTGAAAGCCCAAGCGGAGTCCTCCGTACTCACAGGGCGTCTCACAAGGTGCTGGGCTTCACGCAAATGATCGCATTCCTGATCCTCCCAGGACCTGCGATCGCATGACGAAGTGGGCGGATGACTGATCCTCCCGATGCATCGTGTGGCCTGATCTTTCCCCAATTCACATCTCACCTCCGAGCTCTAATGCATCTCTTTCCCTTGACAATAAAGCTAAATAATATAACTACAGCTATATACACCCAGAGTCCAAGTGCAAATGTTAATTTCAGAGTCATGAAAGAAGCTTTTAACACATATTTCTGGCAGTTGACGCTGGCGCGTCCAATTTACGCTTCATGATGAAAAAGGCGCGCAAACATATTTGCAAAGTAGAAAGACTGTGAGAACTCCGCACCGTACCTGGAAAGCATACACAAGGTTGATACTGAGGCAACCGTGCTAGAACAAAGTGACGAGCATGCCTTCATTGATTCATGCCCAGTCATTCTTTACAGAAGTTCCAAGCATTCTGTGTCACAGATGGTATCCCTAGCTGTTGCCGAGCCCTTCTCTTTCTATTGCCATGGCAATTGCCCTCTGATGTGAAAGCCTGCTGCTACGCTGGCGCATGATGTTGTTATGGTCATCCGACTCCTGCCGATGGGGCGAGGGCATCCGACTCTCTGCGGTTGCTTCAATCACTTGGCTGCTTTCCTTGAAGAACTCCCCACTGGAACAAAGCATCTAAGTGGGAAAAACTGCTTGATCCCCGCAAGTTCATACATATTGGGTCAAAACATTGGTCGATTTGTAATGACTGAATTGTAAGACATGTATTAATATATTTAATATAAGTATCAATGCAACAAACATGTGTCCGCCTCGGTATTTCTGAAGCAAAGGGCAACAACATGCAACAACAAATGTCAATTCTTGCAATCGTTCGCGTCTCATTCCGGCTCATTGCATTTCAGTTGACTTGATCCAATTTGTGTTGTTGTGGCTGCTGTTCTGATTTGTGGTCATATTTGTGTTCTCTGTCTTTGCTTGTTCTTTTGATGTTTCTGCTCCGTATCCGTATGTCCTTCTTGCTGTGTTGGTTGCTCATGCTGCTTATTAGATTCTTCTCTATCTCACACTGAGCATGGAAGGGAAGGAGGCTCGTCTATGCTTGCTGTATTTTGCAAGGTCATCCTTGTCGCATACAAATGTTGTATCCTTCACAGAGAGCCAAGTGCGCATGACCTGGAGCCTACAGTCCCCCCGAGTCCACCCAGCACGCCAAAACCTGTCCCGTCCAACCACCACCAGCTTCAGGTAGCTGATCCTCAAAGTGCCCAACGAGGAAAGAGGCTCCTTTCGTTATCTATTTGGACTGCCAACTCCCACACAAACCACGGCTGATGTTCAAAACATGCTCAATACTTTGATATAAGCATTTAGTATATATATATATATAAATTACATAAATATGTCCAGAACATCATGTTCTTTTGGATGCATCACGATGTATGGAGAGTTTTGGAGAACGTCCTTACCACCTGTATGGAATCTCAATAAGTTCAATCCAGGCATCGAGTCTTCCCAGAGCCCGTACATCCATTTGCCCCAAGTATCTCGATTCAACACCTCCGACCGTCTCGGGGTCGAACTCGGCCGAACTCGTCTTGAAAGCAAGATGTGCACAGTAGGGATTGCTGTGACAGCTGAAGCGCTACTATATATATAACATGCACCAAAACAGTAGATAAGTCACCACTTCTTCATTGATGATGCGGGATTTCACTGCGTAGCACCTTATTCCGAAACAACATGTCAAACCAAACAACGAAAACGCGCCACATCACTGCTTAAAGCCATCAACTCACAAGTTGGACTGCCGGGCAGCATGGCCGCGACAATGACCCGCTCCATTTGAAGGAGAAATGTTGGCCTTAGCAAATCCGAGGCTGTGGGTCTGGGATACCGCATCTATGGGATCTTCCGAGCCGTTCTACCCCGAGCTAAGCCGAGCAGCGGCAGGAGTGCAAAATGTGTGAACTTACATCCCACGTTGCCCGGTGCATTCTAGCTCAACAAAATTCAAACACGTGCAATGTATCACTCCGCCTTGCACATACCCTGAAAATTGACAGTGGCCCATGTTGGAGAACTTGCTGGGTCTTAAACATACAAAGCGGACATGTTGAGGAAACACATGTCGTACATTCTTTCGAACAGCTTTAGGTTCAATCATGGAGGGCGTGCAAAGCTACAGTATGTGACCAGCAGTGAAAGTCTTCACACTGCCAGGTTGCAAGTAGATCACTTGAGCGCCCTCCAAGGCAACCAGGCATCCAAGAGAAACAAAACCAACCAGGCCATGCAACGACTACTGCTGACATAGTCCGACAAGCAAACACACTCCCAAACAACAAATTCTGACCACAAAAGCATCACAGCTCCCAGCCGTCCCAGCCTCCCCGTGGACAATCTCATGGCGTCGCAGGAGGACTTCAGCTGTTTCCGTCAGAATCGTTTTCAAAATCTCGCGCTCCTGGCCAGGCCACACGTCACATGTCTTTTTCGGGCGGTTCCAGGGTGTCCACTAAGTGTCCATCGTCCTAGGGGGCTTCATTCTGCGGTGAAGCAAATGGTGCAACTCACAGCACGCCTGATTGGGCAAGGCTGCACAAGTTGTCAAACTCCAGTCTTCTGCCAGCTCTTTCATGTGCTGCCCTGAAAGGCTTCCGTGTTCCACACCTGACTGAGGTGGCATTGATTCTGTACAGACTTGCGTTGCCACGATTTCCCTGAAACAGTCATTGGTCAAAACGTGTGCAATGTGCAACCACCAAACTCACGGGTAGCCACACGGTCCAATGCAGCGTTCCCTCTATCAAGACAAGGCTCTCAAAAAGTGGTGGCGCTGGTCTGACTCGACAACAGCCTCACAAGCGGGGGCAACAGCTTTGCGGCCC